ATCGTGATTTATCAGATGGTTGTACTGTTGTTTGAAAATTAATGAGTTCAAATGAAATATTTATCGTTTTGTCGTTTTTGAGAACACATAATAATATTTGTTGACGCATGACTGAAGTAAAATTTTCATCATGAAATATGATAAATGGATATCTAGAACCATTATTAGTTGGATAAAATTGAATAATAGAATGTATCATATTAATTGTGAGAAAGATAGATCGATTTGTACTTCGAATTAGTGTAACAATAACACCTCGTACTTGTATTTGTTCTATTTGTTGCATAACTGGAGTATGATTTTTAAAACTAGTAAAATATATCAAAACAATAGTAAAAATAATCAAAATTATTGATATTTTTGAAAATATACGGGTTATACTAATATTGATCATCTTTGTTTCGAATTAATTATAAATCAACAAGCTTTTATTTCACCTGGTTAAATATTGAATGTAAGTAATAATTTGTTGCCTCACATATATGCTTAAATATGGTGTCTTCGATAATTATTGAACAACCACATGTTACAAAAAAATGGAAGTACGTTATCAATGATGTTCTGCTTGACTGACTTTGCACTTTGTCCCCAATCTTTCTTCGTCAGCATCGATAAGTAATTAAAAAAACGAAATAAACAAGAATGTATATATTTTTTTGCTTAGAAAGAGTACAAATAGATATTCAACATATATCATAAAATAAACAAGGTGATCTTTATGTTTCAAATCTTTAGACACAAACACTTTGATTATATTATGCCCATCATGTTTTTGGACTACTGATTTTTTGATATGTGTAATGTGTCTCAAAAGTCATAATTATATTTGAAAAAAGTATGTTTGGATGTCGAAAAACAAAGAACTTTCAAATATTTCTGAAACTATAAAAAGAACGTGGAACATCTAAGTAAAATAATTATATGATACCTAGAGAATAGACCATGTGTTATCAGAAAATTCTATTGTTTCTATGAACTAAATTATACTTTTCAAGTGTATCAATCCATGGCGAACAAGTATCTGCTCCCAAAATAGATTGCCACTATTTACAAGTGACAATAAATTATAAGAAAGTTTTGAGAATAACTAAAATTTTCTACATGATATATATAACCTATGGTGCAAAAGTCTTGCTACAAAATGTTTGTTCAGCTTTCCATCACCTAGATGTCGCTATAGAGAATGAAAGATAGTCAATTAGAATCAGAATTTGATGCTCTTTCGAAATATACAATATTAAAAAAAGACTATGTCCCTAAAGCACTAAAACTTTTAGGAAATATGCTAATGACTCGGAAGTATTGATAATGATCGAAATTTATGCGAAACGAGGAGAGGCTGATAACTGATGAAATAGGCCACCTACAGACGTATGATTTATTTCATGTCTAATTCTAACTCAAGGTGTCTGAAAGTGGTAACTGATAGAATGAGACCTTTAACACTTGTTTTCACTGTTTCCCAGACAATTGAAAGAGTCAATGGCTGTCTTATGTATACTATAACCTGGTGTTGATGACAACCAGCTTCTTTATATAGCAGTATGAAGATTGACTCGATAGCAGTTTTCAACAGCTTCAAAATGTTATAAAAGCATTACAGAAAAAACACTCTTCGATATGACTTCACAGGGAGCACATAGCTCTGATATGTCCTTATTTCAAGTATTATCCAGACTGTTCGCTAAAATTGTGTGTCACCGTCACCGAATATTATTGTACATCGTGGTAGCTTTTATATGATTTGATAGCACTTGAAAAACGATACGAAATACTATAAAAACATCTATGAAAAAAACCACTGATTAATACAAGACATCTGAAGGAGACTATTCTTCAGACATGATTTTATGATTTTTTTTGCCTGGTATTTAGTAGATTTCGATCAGAAGAATATGATTTGGATAAAAACTAATATGATATTATGAATCAGCATCTCAGACTGACTAGACTCACATGATATTCAAACACTTCCATGAGCTTAGTTTTCGTCAAAAACTTCGTACACAGGTGTTATAAGTCTAATTCTAGCACGTATCATTTTGGAACACCTTGAATCGAGTTTGACATGACAGAAATCATATTACTGTAGGAGATTGATTTCATCAGTTAATAATCTGCCTCCTTTTTCATAATACCTACATTTACTGATAACAATCTCTTCTTCTCTATATACTTATCAGATTCAACATATAAATATGTATTTGAGTCAAAATTGGAAATCAAGTTATGATCAGATTGTTCTTCGACAAAGTAAGGTTGAAATTAAAATTAGACGAAAATTATATTAAATGAGTCGAAAATTAAAAAAAACTTCTGGTTTTTACCATGAATTCTACTCTTTAGGATATTTTGATTCGTTTTAATACGCCTCGAGCACCTCTAAGTACTGTCAACTGTTGACAGAATTTGTTCATCTCTTTCTCAAATGTTTTTGCAAAACGAAATAATATTTTGAAGTAACCCAATGGCATCAAATGGAAATTGTGACCATAAGGAATATTAGTCACATATTCAACTTTAACTTGATTATCAATTTCAAGCATTGCTGAATGAACACATCCATCACCGATATATTCTCGAAGTATTAAATCATCTTCAATCAATTCATGAACAAAACTTTTAACACGTTTTGATTCATAATACCATTTCAAACGAATAACAAAAAAATTATTATAAATACAACTACGACTAAGGATCGTGTCCTTGAGAAAACGTCGTAAGATTGGTTGCATTGGTGTTGTCGGTTCCGAATATGAAGATCGATAAATATAATCTAATTTTCGATTATTCATATCAAGGAAAATATCTTTTTCGACTGTATCCATAAAGTATGAATCATCATCCATTCTCATTAAATACTCATAATTTCCTCGACGAATAGCTGGATGATAAAAAACATCATATATCCAAAATCGACACATTAAACGATATCCAATTGGTTTTTCTAATCGTGATTTATCAGATGGTTGTACTGTTGTTTGAAAATTAATGAGTTCAAATGAAATATTTATCGTTTTGTCGTTTTTGAGAACACATAATAATATTTGTTGACGCATGACTGAAGTAAAATTTTCATCATGAAATATGATAAATGGATATCTAGAACCATTATTAGTTGGATAAAATTGAATAATAGAATGTATCATATTAATTGTGAGAAAGATAGATCGATTTGTACTTCGAATTAGTGTAACAATAACACCTCGTACTTGTATTTGTTCTATTTGTTGCATAACTGGAGTAT